ACAACATCACAAAAACATCACCTAGCACCCAAATAATTATGTCTATCATAAACACAAAGCACATTCATATGTAAAAGATTAAAGCTGATTTCCTGCTTTCTTATAATTGGTTTACAAGTAGTATTAAACTATTATATAATATAGTTTATAATATAATATAATATATTGTGTATATATATAATATTTATAATATTATAATGTAATGCAATATAGTAATACCAATACTAATAATATTATATTATAATTATATATTTATATTACATGTAATATTACTAATAATATTACAATATAGTGGTACAATACAATATAGTAATAATTAATACTCGTATTGTACTATGCTAATAATATACTATATTGTATGTATATATATCGTGTAAGCTGCTCTGAGTCCCCTTCGGGGTGAGAAGGGCGGCACATAAATGTCGTAAATAGATAAATAAATAAATAGTATGCCTATTAAGTTGATAAAGGAAAAAACAATTATATACTTCTACCTATACTTCTGCCAACCTAGCAGTTTGAAAACATGCAAATGTGAGTAGATCAATAGGTACCGCTCCGACGGGAAGGTAACGGCGCTCCATGCAGTCATGCCGGCCACATGACCTTGGAGGTGTCTACGGACAACGCTGGCTCTTCGGCTTAGAAATTGAGATGAGCACCACACCCCAGAGTCAGACATGACTGGACTTAATGTCAGGGGATTACCTTTACCTTTACCTTTTATACTTTGAAAAAGAGGCCATCTGCTCTTAAAACCTGCCGGTATTATTACCTTCCTTTCTCTCTCCCTTAGGAATGGCAAAGAAAAGCAATTGTGATGCTTCGTCTTCTTTAAGTCTCCTTTGGGAGAGAAAATTGCAGGGTATTGTTATTATTGTTGTTATTGTTACAATTATTGATTATTTACATGTCTTGCTTGCTTTACAAGGAATCTCTGCATTCAGTATAGAGCCAAAATCAGGAAAAACAACAGCTCCTGGAATGTATTTTTTTCAATTTCAAAAATGACAAATTTGCCCTTTCTTTTCCTTGCAGTCCCTCCATCTGTGGGCATAATGTGAAATTTGTCTCGCGCCGTAACTCATTACATCTGTACATCTCCCCCTCCAATCTGTTGAAAAACTGTTGCAAATGGTCTTTGCAATTTTAGGGACATATTTATGCACATTTGCAAGTTTCCTCCGTATTTGCTCAGCTTTCAAACCAGGTTTTGGGAATTTGAAAGCTTGCTCTTGACTTTGGATGCATCTACATTGGAGAATGAACGCAGTTTGATACCAATCGAACTGCAACAGGGTCCTGGGAGTTGTAGTTTGGTGAAGCACCATCACTCTTGGGCAGAGAATAATAAAGACCACTTAAAATGACCTCTCTCATGATTCCATAGTTAAAGTGATGTCAAACTGCATTAATTCTACTGTCTAGAACAGGTATCGGCAAACTCAGGCCCGGAGCTGGATGCAGTCCCTTGGGCTCATTTCTCAGGCCCTCCTCTCTCTTACCATCCTTCCTTCCTTCTCTCTTTCCTTCCTCCTTCCCTTTCTCCCTTACCTTCCTCTTTTCCTTCCCTCACTCCCCCCTTTCTCCTTCCTCCTTCCCTTCCTTCCTTCTTTTCTCCTTCCTCCTTTCTTTCCTTCCTTCTTCTCTTTCCTCCTTCCCTCTTTCCTTCTCTCTTTCTTTCTCCCTTTCCTTCCTTCCCTCCTCTTTTGTCTTTCTTTCTCCTCTCTCTTTCCTTCCTCTCTCCCTCCTTTCTTCTTTCTCCTTCCCTCCTTCCTTCCCTTCTCCCCCTTTCCTTCTCTCTCCCTTTCTCCTTCCTTCCCTCCATACCTCCCTTCCTCCTTTTTGTCTTTCCTTCTATCTCTCTTTCCTTCCTCTTTCTCCTTCCATTCCACCCTTTCATCCTTCCTTCCATCTCTCCCTCTTTTTCCTTCCCTTTTGTCTTTCCTTCCTTCTCTTTTCCTTTATCCTTCCTCCTTTCTTCCTTCCTCTCTCCTTTCCTCCTTCTCTTTTCTTTCCTTTCCTTTCCTTCTTCTTTTTGTCTTTTTTCCTTCCCTCTTTTCTCTCTCCTTCCCTCTCTCCCTTTCTCCTTCCATCCTTCCCTTCCCCCCTTTCATCCTTGCGTCTCTTTTTCCTTCCTCCTTCCCTTTCCTTCCTTCCCTTTTCACTTTCCCTCCTTCCCTCCTGGCCCCCAAGTTAGAAAGTTTGCCCATGCCTGGTCTAGAATGAACCCCATCTCTTTCCCACCTGTTCACCATTCTTCCTGTGTTTTTTTCTGTCCTGACAAGCCTTGATTCCTCCTCGCTTTATTTTGGCACATCCTTTTGCGTCTCCTTTTTATTGCAACTCAGAGCTGAAGCAGAATGCGAAGGGAAATCTTTATGGTTAACCTATTTTCCTCCTCAACAGTTTGATTGCCCTAGAAATACGTGCCAAAACAGTCAGGACTTGCAAATCGAGCCAGTGTTTACTTTCCAATGCATGGTTCGAAAGCAAAACACATCAAATGCAAAATACGTAGGAGGGGAAAATCATGTGGTGTGACAAACAGGTGTCTCTTACCACTTGCGGACCACAGAACATACAATAAATATTATCATCCAGTGTGAACTTTAGGGTTTTTAGTATGGAGGGCCTGAATTCATCCCATGTTCACCGGCTTTATTTATTTATTTATTTATTTATTTGCTGCATTTATTGACCGCCGCTCTCAGCCCTAGGGCGATTCGCGGCGGTGTACAACATATAAAAACAATTTACAATATAGCAAAACAGGAAATCACCACAACAATAGTACACAGTAATCTAGGTTACACTAAATAATCCGCTCCGTCACATCATAGAATCATCACCAATATCGTAATCCATATTCCGTTCCAGTTGTCAGTTACCAGTTGCCGTAGCGTTCAGTTAAATGCCTTCTCGAATAGCCAGGTCTTTAGGCTCCTACGGAAGGACAACAGGGAGGGCGCCTGTCTGATGTCAGCAGGGAGGTCGTTCCACAGCCGGGGGGCCACCACCGAGAAGGCCCTCTCTCTCGTCCCCGCCAGACGTGCCTGTGAAGCAGGCGGGATCGAGAGAAGGGCCTCCCCAGACGATCTCAAGGTCCTCGTGGGCTCATAGGCCGAGATGCGGTCCGAAAGGTATTTTGGGCCGGAACCGTTTAGGGCTTTGTAGGATAACACCAGCACCTTAAATTGGGCCCGGTAGCAAATCGGCAGCCAGTGGAGCTGGGACAGCAGAGGAGTTGTATGCTCCCTGCGTCCCGCTCCTGTTAGTAACATGGCTGCCGCGCGCTGGACTAGCTGAAGCTTCCGGGCCGTCTTCAAGGGCAGCCCCACGTAGAGAGCGTTGCAGTAGTCAAGGCGGGATGTGACCAGACCGGCTTTAAGGACACAAGACCCTCATGAAAGTGGGAAAACCATAAATGTAATATATGCATTTTTTAAAGCCAAGTGAACACCTAGGTCTAGGTCCTCCAGAGAAACTCTGGTCACACCTACACTGTCATGTATTGCAGTTTGAAATGGCAATATATGGTCAGTGCTATAGACAAATATAAGGCAGTTCAGTATAGATAAAGTACATTCAATGAGTCTGCATTGACCATATAATGCAAGTTCAAAGTGCATTATGTGGCAGTGTAGATGGGGCTCCATGGCCAGCTAATAATACTGTGTTGCTGCTGCTGATAATATTGTAATGATGATGATGATGATGATGATGATGATGATGATGATGATGATGATGAACTATCATCCTCAGAGGTTGCAAGGTCTGTTGGAAACTAGGCAAGTGGGGCTTATATATCTGTGGAATAATGTCCAGGGTAGGAGAAAGAACTCTTGTCTGTTTGAGGCAAATGTAATGTTGTAATTGACCAGCTTGATTAGCATTAAATATCCTTTCAGCTTCAAAGCCTGGCTGTTTCCTGCCTGGGGGAATCCTTTGTTGCACTAGTTCCCAACCTGTGGTCCATGAACTAACAGTGGTCCCCAAGAACTAAAATATGGTCAGTAAAGTTGCAATTGGCCAGCTTGATTAGAATTGAATAGTCTTTCAGCTTCAAAGCCTGGCTGCTTCCTGCCTGGGAGAATCCTTTGTTGCAATAGTTCCTAACCTGTGGACCATGGGCAACCAGTGGTCCCCAAGAACTTAAATGTGGCGGGGGCACCTTGGTGTCTTCCTTTTTTGGCCTGTTCCTGGGTTTATTTGGGGTGCCGATTCAGAACATTGCATTGGATAGACTACATCAGCTCTGGATTATTAAATATGGTTTTCTGTGGGTGAGCAGACGGTGACTATTGGATGGCATATGTTCTGTATCAGAAACTAGAGCTGATGTGGTCTATCCAATGCAATTTTCTGAATTAGCACCCCAAATAACCAAACTGAATCTAAAGTTAACAAAAAACTGATTTGTAACCCTTTTGGTACTAATGTTGGAGAGTGGCCTTTGATTAAAGTGGTTCCTGGTCAAAAAAAAAAAAAAGGTTGGAAACCGCTACTTTGTTGGGAAGTGTTAGCTGGCCCTGATTGTTTCTTGTTTAGAATTCCCCTGTTTTTCTGAAACATGAACTGGTCACACTCAGAGACCTTTCTGCATCATTAGGTTGTGGTGTTGGGACCCCATCCATACTGCCATATAAAATCCAGAACATAAGAGTCTACGCTGCCATGTAATCCAGTTCAATGAATGCATATAATCTGGATTTTATCTGGCAGTTGAAGGGGCCTGGGTTTTCCGCACTTCCAAATTGACCTGTGGCCCCATCTAGTGGTTATCTCCTGCCTGCGGCGGCTACAAGCCATCATAGCAAGAAGGTTAAGGACCTTGTCAAACTACAAGTCCATTGAGCTGGAGAAGCTAAAAGTGGGGTGCAAATGCATTCATTCTAAAGTGTAGATGCACCCCTGAAAATGCTGCAAATGGGTGCAAAGGAGGAGGAAATAATCACCGGCAAAACAGGCACAATTCTCTTTTCCATTCCCAAAAGTACACAGAGGCAGCGCGGGGACAAAAGGACCGTTCCAAGCTTCTCCCTTTCTTTCTCTCTTTCCATTTCCTTAGGAATAAGAATATTCCATCCGTAGGAGTCGTGGGTGACGGAGACAGCTGGAACATGCATCGCATAAGAGAAGAGTGTGTCTCTGTGTGCCGCTTCTGTCGCTCCTTCATCCCCCTTTTCCTTCCAAATATAGCCCAGCCTTGTTCTTTCTGGCTGCAAGAACATGGCAGCGGCGCATAAACACAAAGACATGGGGCACATGGCGGAGGGCCTGAGCGCTTTGGGTGCATCTGCACTGTAGAGTTAATGCAGTTTGGCACCACTTGAACTGCCATGGCTCTGTCAGCGGGTTTGAAGGACAAGCTGTGAGCATTGCCACTTCATGCATCTGGTTTAAGAGCATCATAAGTCTCAGATATTGGCCTCTATATAACTGCAAAACGAATGCAGTTTGGCACCACTTGCAAAGCAAGTGGCAGTCGAGGGGTATTTGCGCCCCTGGCAAAAAAAAAGTGTTCTGCGACTGCTTACTTCGCGTAATGGATGCGCCGCCCCTGCATATAGGTAAAGGTTTTCCCCAGGCAAGACAGATAGGGTAAATAGATTGAAATAGATAGATAGATAGATAGATAGATAGATAGATAAGAAAGAGAGGAAGAGGTTGTCCCTGCCGGGTTGCCAAAGAAGAAAGAGAAGGGAAGGGAAGGAGGAAGAACGAAAAAGGAGGAAAGGAAGAGAAAGGAAAATGGGAGGAAAGCAAGAGAAAGAAGGGAGAGAAGAGAGAATACAAAGGAAGGAAGGAAGGAAGGAAGGAAGGAAAGGGAAAAAAAGAGAAGAAGAAAGAAAAAGAATGGAAAGGAAGAACGAAAAAGGAGGAAAGGAAGAGAAAGGAAAATGGGAGGAAAGCAAGAGAAAGAAGGAGGACAATACAAAAAAAGGAAGGAAGGAAGGAAGGAAGGAAGGAAGGAAAGGGAAAAAAAGAGAAGAAGAAAGAAAAAGAATGGAAAGGAAGAACGAAAAAGGAGGAAAGGAAGAGAAAGGAAAATGGGAGGAAAGCAAGAGAAAGAAGGGAGAGAAGAGAGAATACAAAGGAAGGAAGGAAGGCAAAAAAGAAAGAAGGAAGGAAGGAAAGGGAAAAAAAGAGAAGAAGAAAGAAAAAGAATGGAAAGGAAGAACGAAAAAGGAGGAAAGGAAGAGAAAGGAAAATGGGAGGAAAGCAAGAGAAAGAAGGGAGAGAAGAGAGAATACAAAGGAAGGAAGGAAGGCAAAAAAGAAAGAAGGAAGGAAGGAAAGGGAAAAAAAGAGAAGAAGAAAGAAAAAGAATGGAAGAACAAAAAAGGAGGAAAGGAAGAGAAAGGAAAATGGGAGGAAAGCAAGAGAAAGAAGGGAGAGAATACAGAAGGAAGGAAGGAAGGAAGGAAGGAAGGAAGGAAGGAAGGAAGGAAAAAAGAAAGAAGGAAGGAAAGGGAAAAAAGAGAAGAAGAAAGAAAAAGAATGGAAAGGAAGAACGAAAAAGGAGGAAAGGAAGAGAAAGGAAAATGGGAGGAAAGCAAGAGAAAGAAGGGAGAGAAGAGAGAATACAAAGGAAGGAAGGAAGGAAAAAAGAAAGAAGGAAGGAAGGAAAGGGAAAAAAAGAGAAGAAGAAAGAAAAAGAATGGAAAGGAAGAACGAAAAAGGAGGAAAGGAAGAGAAAGGAAAATGGGAGGAAAGCAAGAGAAAGAAGGGAGAGAAGAGAGAATACAAAGGAAGGAAGGAAGGAAGGAAGGAAGGAAGGAAGGAAGGAAGGAAGGAAGGAAAAAAAAGAAGGAAGGAAAGGGAAAAAAGAGAAGAAGAAAGAAAAAGAATGGAAAGGAAGAACGAAAAAGGAGGAAAGGAAGAGAAAGGAAAATGGGAGGAAAGCAAGAGAAAGAAGGGAGAGAAGAGAGAAGACAAAGGAAGGAAGGAAGGAAGGAAGGAAGGAAGGAAGGAAGGAAGGAAAAGGAAGGAAGAAAAAGAAAGAAGGAAGGAAAGGGAAAAAAGAGAAGAAGAAAGAAAAAGAATGGAAAGGAAGAACGAAAAAGGAGGAAAGGAAGAGAAAGGAAAATGGGAGGAAAGCAAGAGAAAGAAGGGAGAGAAGAGAGAAGACAAAGGAAGGAAGGAAGGAAGGAAGGAAGGAAGGAAGGAAGGAAGGAAGGAAGGAAGGAAGAAAAGAAAGAAGGAAGGAGGAGAAAAAAAAGAGAAGAAGAAAGAAAAAGAATGGAAGAACAAAAAAGGAGGAAAGGAAGAGAAAGGAAAATGGGAGGAAAGCAAGAGAAAGAAGGGAGAGAAGAGAGAATACAAAGGAAGGAAGGAAGGAAGGAAGGAAGGAAGGAAGGAAGGAAGGAAGAAGGAAGGAAGGAAAGGGAAAAAAAGAGAAGAAGAAAGAAAAAGAATGGAAAGGAAGAACGAAAAAGGAGGAAAGGAAGAGAAAGGAAAATGGGAGGAAAGCAAGAGAAAGAAGGGAGAGAAGAGAGAATACAAAGGAAGGAAGGAAGGAAGGAAAAAAAGAAAGAAGGAAGGAAGGAAAGGGAAAAAAAGAGAAGAAGAAGAAAAGATGGAAGAAAAAAAAGAGGAAAGGAAGGGAGAGGAAAGGAGGAAAGAAGAGAAAGAAGGGAGAGAGGAGACAAAGGGAAGGAAGGAAGGAAGGAAGGAAAGAAGGAAGGAAGGAAGGAAGGAAGGAAGGAAGGAAAAAAAGAAAGAAGGAAGGAAAGGGAAAAAAGAGAAGAAGAAAGAAAAAGAATGGAAAGGAAGAACGAAAAAGGAGGAAAGGAAGAGAAAGGAAAATGGGAGGAAAGCAAGAGAAAGAAGGGAGAGAAGAGAGAAGACAAGGAGGAAGGAAGGAAGGAAGGAAGGAAGGAAGGAAGGAAGGAAGGAAGGAAGGAAGGAAGGAAGAAAAAAGAAAGAAGGGGAAAGAAAAGAGAAGAAGAAGAAAAAGAAGGAAAAGGAAGAAGAAAAGGAGGAAAGGAAGAGAAAGGAAAAGGGAGGAAAAGAAAGAAAGAAGGAAGAAGAGAGAAGAAAGGAAGGAAGAGGAAAGAAAAAAAAGAAAGAAGGAAGGAAGGAAGGAAAGGGAAAAAAAGGGAAGAAGAAGAGAATGGAAGAAAAGAGAGATGTTTTCTTACCTGGACAATTGGGTTGTGCAAGTTTTTCTGTACCGGTCCAGGACTATCCCCCTGGAAGAAGGAAAGAAAGAGAGGTGCATCTACACTGAGGAATACAAATTTGGTTGCAAATATAATAATAATAATAATAATAATAATAATAATAATAATAATAATATTAATAATAATACATTTCGTTCCAATAATAACAATAATAATAATACATTTGGGTCCCCCGATTTCCGACACTCTGCAAGCATTACAAAGCGGCCGCTGCCGAGCTGCACAAGCCAAGCTCTCGGGGACGGTGGGAACGAAATAATACTAATACTAATACTAATACGAATACTAATACTAATACTAATACTAATCCATATAGAAAGAGAACCGTGCCAGGAAGGGGCAATGACCTGCAGAGGCGCCTTACATTGCAGAGCGAGTGCGTTCGGTGCCGCGGGGAGTTGATGTCGCTGGGGGTGGAGGAGCGGTCGCCTTCCGCCGCCGAGGCGTCCGAGATGACCGAGGGCTGGCGCGAGTGGCACGGGCTCACCCGCACCGCTGCCAAAGACAAACGGGAACACATTATTATTATTATTACTACTACTACTATTATTACTACTACTACTATTATTATTATTATTATCCCGCTTTATCTATCCTTAAGGAGACTCAATGCAGCTATGTATCTATTATTATTATTATTATTATTATTATTATTATTATTATTATTATTATCATCATCAAAGCCCTCCCGGCAGATGGCCATATTATAATACTACTACTACTACTACTACTACTACTAAAAATAATAATCACACCATAGAGTCTTAGAGTTGGAAGGGACCTCTAATGGCCATCTAGTCCAACCCCTTTTTGCATTCATGCAAGGAAAGCACCATCAAAACCTTCCCGACAGATGGCCATATAATACTACTACTACTACTACTAAGAAGAAGAAGATTCACACCGCAGAGAGAGTTGGAAGGGACCTCTAAAGGCCATTTAGTCCAACCCCTTTTTGCATTCATGCAAAGGAAACACCATCAAAGCCCTCCCGAAAGATGGCCATATAATACTACTAGTACTACTACTACTAAGAAGAAGAAAAAAAGCCCCACCACAGAGAGAGTTGGAAGGGACCTCTAAAGGCCATTTAGTCCAACCCCTTTTTGCATTCATGCAAAGAAACACCATCAAAGCCCTCTCGACAGATGGCCATATAATACTACTAGTAGTAACAATAATAATAATCACATCATAGATTCTTAGAGTTGGAAGGGACCACTAAAGGCCATCTAGTCCGACCCCTTTTTGCATTCATGCAGGGAAAGCACCATCAAAGCCCTCCCGACAGATGGCCATATCGTACTAATACTACTACTACTACTAGTAGTAGTAATAATAATAATAATAATCACACCATAGAGTCTTAGAGTTGGAAGGGACCTCTAAAGTTCATCAACCCCTTTATGCATGGAAAGCACCATCAAAGCCCTCCCGACAGATGGCCATATAATACTCCTACTACTACTACTAGTAATAATAATAATAATAATCACACTATAGAGTCTTAGAGTTGGAAGGGACCTCTAAAGGCCATCAACCCCTTTATGCATGGAAAGCACCATCAAAGCCCTCCCGACAGATGGCCATATAATACTACTGCTAGTACTACTACTACTAGTAGTAGTAAAAATAATTGCACCATAGAGTCTTAGAGTTGGAAGAGACCTCTAAAGGCCATCTAGTCCGACCCTTTTTTGCATTCATGCAGGGAAAGCACCCTCAAAGCCCTCCCGACATACGGCCATATGATACTACTACCTTGCCGGTCGACCGTGTGCTGGGGGTGGCCGTGGTAGAGGGTCTGCTGGCTCTGCCGGATGGCGGCCGTGAGCGGGAGGTCGGCCTGCATGACCCACTCCTGGTTGCCGTTCAGCACCGTCTCCCCCGGCATAGCCAGCGAGTGCCGCTTTGGCACGTCCTTCGTCAGCGTGGCCAGCGATTGCTTCGCCTGCAGAAAGGAAGATTTCAAGGCTCATTTCTCTGTCATTTTTACAGCTATCGAGACGAAATTCAACACACTCGAAGGCAACATTTGCGACTTCAAGTCTGCCAAGTTTCAGAATGTTTCAGTCATCTGCTGATTTTTAGGAATTTTTAAAGTGTTTTTTACAAATATTTTTTTCAAAATAAAACTACAAGAGGTACTCCCTTGATAGTTTGTACAACGAGACAACATAAGCCGGGCAGCAATCCTGCAAAGTTTCAGAAAAATCTATTCATCTACTGATTTTTAAGAATTTTTTAAAGATTCGGAGGGGTCCCAATTACAGCGTTAGTAAATTGGTACCTAATCCCAGTTCAGGTTATTAAATGCTTTTTCAGCATCTAAACTTAATAGGGCTAATTCTTCTTGATTATGTCTTTCGTAATATTCAATTGTGTTTAATATGAGGATGAAACTTGACATACTTATCGGCAACATTTAAGACTTCAAGCCCGCCAAGTTTCAGAAAGATCCATTCATCTACTGATTTTTAAGAATTTTTTAAAGATTCAGAGGAGTCTCGTTTTGTTTCGTAGCAGCAATGGGGAAAATTTCGAGGCTCGTTTCTCCGTCATTTTTACAGCGATCGGGATGAAACTTTGCACAACCGAAGGCAATATTTACAACTTTCAGCCTGCCAAGTTTCAGCGTGTTTTGGTCATCTGCTGATTTTTAGGAATTTTTCAAAAATATTTAATATATGGTGACCGTAGTGGCAATGGGGAAAATTTCAAGGCTCGTTTTCCCGTAATTATTATGGCTATCAGGATGAAACTTGGCACACCTTTTGGCAACATTTACGAGTTTGGGCCCGGCTATTTTCAGAACATTTCAGTCATCCACTGTTTTTTTAGGAATTCTTCAAAAGTTATTTCAATTAAAATTATTTTCAAGGAAACCACAAGGGATATCCCCTTGAATCTTTACACAATCAGACAACATATGCAGGGCATTAGTCCTGCAAAGTTTCAGAAAGATTAATTCATCTGCTGATTTTTAGTAATTTTTTAAAAGATTTGGAGGGGTCTTGTTTCTTAATCTAAATCTCTGAAGCTTCGTAAAATTCGTTCCACTAGCGGCAATGGGGAAAAAATTTGAGGCTCATTTCTCTGCCATTTTTATGGCTATCGGGATGAAACTTGGCACACTTGTAGCCAACAGTGATAGCTTTAGACCTGCCAAATTTCAGAAAGATCCGTTCATCTACTGATTTTTAATAATTTTCTAAAGAGTCAGAGGAGTTCCATTTTGTAATCCGAATCTCTGAAGCTTTGTAAGATTTGTTCCATTAGTGGCAATGCAGAAAATTTCGAGACTCGTTTCTCCATCATAGTTATAGCTATCAGGATGAAACTTGGCACACTTGTAGGCAACAGTGATAGCTTTAAGCCTGCCAAGTTTCAGAAAGATCCGTTCATCTACAGATTTTTAATTATTTTTTTAAAGATTCAGAGGGGTCCTGTGTCGTAATCCGAATATCTGAAGCTTCGTAAGATTTGTTCCAATGGGGAAAATTTTGAGGCTCGTTTCTCCGTTATTTTTATAGCTATCGGGATGAACGTTGGCACAATTGTAGTGAACAGGGATGGCTTTAGGCCTGCCAAGTTTCAGAAAGATCCGTTCATCTACTGATTTTTAATGATTTTTTAAAGATTCAGAGGGGTACCGTTTTTTAATCTGAATCTCTGAAGCTTCGTAAGATTCGTTCCACTAGCAGCAATAGGGAAAATTTGGAGGCTAATTTCTCTGCCATTTTTATGGCTATTGGGATGAATCTTGGCACACTTGTAGGCAACAGTGATGGCTTTAGACCTGCCAAATTTCAGAAAGATCCGTTCATCTACTGATTTTAAATAATTTTTTTAAGATTCGGAGGGGTCCCATTTTGTTTCATAATCCGAATCTTCGAAGTTTCATAAAGACTGGTTTCATTAGTGGCAATGGGGAAAATTTTGAGGCTCGTTTCTTTGTCATTTTTATGGCTGTCAGGATGAAACTTGACATACTTATCGGCAACATTTACGACTTTAAGCCCGCCAAGTTTCAGAAAGATCCATTCATTTACTGATTTTTAAGAATTTTTTAAATATTCAGAGGAGTCTCGTTTTGTTTCGTAGAGGTTATGGAGAAAATTTCGAGGCTCGTTTCTCCGTCATTTTTACAGTGATCAGGATGAAACTTGGCACACCCGAAGGCAACATTTACAACTTTCAGTCTGCCAAGTTTCAGCGCGTTTCGGTCATTCTCTGATTTTTAGGAATTTTTCAAAAATATTTAATATACGGTGACCGTAGCGGCAATGGGGAGAATTTCGAGGCTCGTTTCTCCGTCATTTTTACGGCGATCAGGATGAAACTTGGCACAACCAAAGGCAACATTTACAACTTTCAGGCTGCCAAGTTTCAGCGCGTTTCGGTCATTCTCTGATTTTTAGGAATTTTTCAAAAATATTTAATATACGGTGACCGTAGCGGCAATGGGGAAAACTTCGAGGCTCGTTTCTCCGTCATTTTTCTGGTGATCAGGATAAAACTTGGCACAACTGTAGGCAACATTTACACCATTCAGCCTGCCAAGTTTCAGCGCATTTCGGTCATCCACCGATTTTTAGGAATTTTTCAAAGAAAATATTAATATTTATGGAGACGTGTTTGAGTGCAATGGGGGGCTGGTCTAGATGACCTCTGGGGCCCCCGCTCCCTTTGCTCACCATGGCTAATTCGGCCTCCAGCTCCTTCATGCGGTTGTCCTTCAGGTCCAGCTGGGAGCGCAGGGCGCTGGCGTGGTCCGTGGCCTCTTTGGCCTGGCGCCGCAGCTCCCACTTCTCCCTCTCCAGCAGGTCTTTCTCCTTCGCCAGCGCCTTGACCACGTCCTCGCTCTCCTGAGGGTCAGAAACACATCATGCTTGGAAAACTACAACTCTAAGGATTACATAACCTTGAGTCAGAGCATCCATGGGCACATCTACAACTCCCAGGAAGGGCCGAAGCATCCATGGGCGCATTTGCAGCACAAAATAAATGCATTCGGATACTACTTGAACTATACTATGCAATGCTGAGAGTTATAGTTCGATAATGCACTAGCACTCTAGGAAAACTACGACTCCCAGGAAATGCCCGACCCTTACTTTTCTGTGTTGCTCGTAATTTGGATACTACTTGAACTATACTATGCAATCCTGGGAGTTATAGTTCGATAATGAACTAGCACTCTAGGCAAACTACAGCTCCCAGGAAACCCCGACCCTTACTTTTCTGTGTTGCTCGTAATTCGGATACTACTTGAACTATACTATGCAATCCTGGGAGTTATAGTTCGATAATGCACTAGCACTCTAGGAAAACTACGACTCCCAGGAAATCCCAACCCTTACTTTTCCGTGTTGCTTATAATATGGATACTACTTGAACTATACTATGCAATCCTGAGAGTTATAGTTTGATAATGCACTAGCACTCTAGGAAAACTACAACTCCCAGGAAACCCCAACCCTTACTTTTCTGTGTTGCTCGTAGTCCCGTAGTTGCAAAATTAATGCAACTGGATGCCAACTGAATTATACTATGGAATCCCAGCAACTATACTTATGGAATACTTGGGAAACTACAACTCCCAACATCTATGGGCACGCTTGCGCTGTAAAATGAATACGTTTGGACAATACTTGAGCTATACTATGGAATACTGGGAGTTATAGTCTGGTGGTGCACCAAAGTATAGTTCAAGTATTCATTTTGCAGTGCAAGTGTGCCCATAGATGCTGGGAGTTGTAGTTTTCCAAGAAAACTACAACTCCCAGGATTCCATGCAATTGAGAAAGAGTATCCGTGGGTGCATTAGAACTGCAAAATTAATGCATTTGGACACTATTTGAATTATATTATGGAATCCTGAGAGTCATAGTTTGGTAATGCACCAGTCCTTTGGAAAACTACACCTCCCAGGATTGCATATCATGAAGCCGGGGCATCCATGGGTACATCTGCATTCTAGAACGAATGCAGCAAACCATACTATTGAATTCTGGGAGTCATCGTTTGGTAATGCACCAGCACCTTGGAAAACTACAACTCCCAGGATTCTGTAACAATGAGAAGGAGTATCCATGGTTGCATTAGAACTGCAAAATTAATGCATTTGGACACTATTTGGATTATATTATGGAATCCTGGGAGTTATAGTTCGGTAATGCACCAGCACCTTGGAAAACTACAACTCCCAGGATTGCATTTCATCAGCATCTATGAGTGCATCTGCATTGTAGAACAAATGCAGCTAGACACTACTTGAACTATACTATTGAATCCTGGGAGTCATAGTTTGACAATGCACCAGCCCTTTGGAAAACTACAACTCCCAGGATTGCATATCATGTAGCCAGAGCATCCATGGGCGCACCTGCATTGTAGAACAAATGCAGCTAGACATTACTTGAACTATACTATTGAATTCTGGAAGTCATAGTTTGGAAAACTACAACTCCCAGAATTGCATATTATGCAGCCGGAGCATCTATGGGTACACTTGCACTGCAGAATGAATGCAGTTGGACACTACTTGAATTATACTATGGAATCCTGGGAGTCATAGTTTGATAATGCACCAGCACCTTGGAAAACTACAACTCCCAGGATTGCATATCATGAAGCCAGAGCAACCATGGGCTTGTCTGCATTTTAGAACGAATGCAGCTAGTCACTACTTGAACTATGCTATTGAATTCTGGGAGTCATAGTTTGATAATGCTGCAGCATTCTAGGAAAACTACAACTCCCCGGGAAGTCCCGCCCCTTACTTTTCTGTGTTGCTCGTAGTTCCGGAT